TTTATGACTACACTCATTCCTGCTTGTTCCCTCTGTGATACTTGGGTCCCCCCGCCCATTTCTTTGGTTGCTCGAAATCCTGGGACTGTTGGAGGCATCGGGAAAGAGAGGCAGGAAGCATAGCAAACGCAGTCACCGTGGATACACCAGGCTCCTGACACGGGTCTTTGCCCTCATGTGTCACAGCAAAGCCCTCCCTCGCTCCTGACTTGGGCTCTTTCCGTCTGACCTTCTCTCCGTCACAGACACCCTTGCTGGGACCGAGGATGGACAGCTCTGGGAGGGTCTCTGGTCCATCATCCTGTGCTGGAATTCACGGACTTCTAGCTGCACTAGACAAGGGCGTGCTTTGCCCTGTGATCCCATAAATCCTCCTGGCCAAGTCAAAGGAAGGGACTTCTCCCAGGGACCTTCACTGTCCACTCTGCTGCTGCCCCGACATATTCCCCTTTCACCGGTCCAGAAAATCATTATTGAACTGGCCCTACATCATCTTGCATTCATTCCCTGTGACCTGAATCTTTGGAAAATTCAGAAGCTTGTTGTCTATTTCTGAGGTCACGTCCCTTCCTGGAAGTCTCGGATCTTCACAGTTCAGCAGTAGGAATTGGAGAAGCTGGTGGGTAACAAAACTCACTAGGAAAACACAACCAGATTCATATTCCCAACTTTCTCCTTTTATACAAGGCCCGTTGTTCGTGCCTTCTTCCCTTCCTCTTGGGAAGTAAGGAAAGTATTAAGGAGCAGGGCCCAGAGACCATGAAAGACCGAGGAGGAGGATGGGGTCTGGGCAGAAGCTGTGTCCCCTCCCACCTTCGTCTCCCCTTTCACGTCCTTGGAGTGCGCTGTGAGCCCGCTACCCACAGGGCTGCTTTGAAGGGAGCCCTGCTCCGGGTCCCTGCTGGAACTGAACACAGGGGGACTCAGCTTTAGTGGGCGCCCACTCCAGCGAGCCAGTGGTTTCCAAACCCTCACCTGTTGGCAGCAGCAACTTTGCTGCTCGTCACTGTCTGGGGGCCAGGCCTTCCGGGCATCCTGACAGCCCTTTCCGGTCTCTGTAACTGGTTTTCCTGCCCCCGCCTGCCCTCAGAACAGCTTGGGAACTCTGCTTTCGTAGGTCAACACAGCCCCTATCCACAGCTCGGTTACCACCTCTAGCGTGGTGACTCCTGGGGTTGCTTCGGGAGCACCTCAGACTCACCACATCCAGACAGATGCAGTTTTCCTAAACCCAGTTCCAGCGTTCATGCTCGCTCCTGCTTCTCAAAACCCTTCTATGCCACCTGCTGTTCAGGGTCCTGACTCCTTGACCCCAGGCTCATCTCCCTCCCTGCTACTGCCCCTGCCCTTGTGTTCACCCAGCCTCCGCAACCCATGCTCCTTTCCCTCCCGTGGGCCTTCTTGTGAGTCCACGCTAAGGTCCATCTTTCCCTGTGGGATGCTGGTCTCCTCCCACTGTCCCCAAGTCCCACTTCCTCTTCAGCCTTGTGCTAAGACACTGCTTTCCCCAGGACACTTCCATGACTGCATGGGACACTTGGTCTGGGCTCAAACAGTGCCAGTGCTTCCTTGGGTGGGTTTCAGACACTGTTTTTAGACAAGGCCTCACTCTGTAATCCAGAATAGCCTTGAACAAACTGTGTAGCCCAAGCTGGCGTCAAAACTTGCGGTGATCCTCCTGTCTCAGCCTCTGTCTTTCATTACTTTTTAAAAACAGTTGGTTCCACACACTGTGATTCAGACACTGAGGTGGCGGTGAGCCAGCAGTGACCCACACTGAGAAAGACAAAGCCACGCCAGGTGGCCACACTTCTAGCCGAAAATTCTTCCCATTCTGTGTTGTTAAATGAAGCTGGAAAGAATGCTTAGCTGCAGATGATAGGAACCTCAGATTTCGGGCTAGGGAGTGGCTTCAGTTCCTTTGGACCTTTTCTGTTTGGAACCCTGCGCTGAGTGCTGAGTCTAAGAAGTTTCTTCTCTTAGACCCTGGCCTTGAGGGCTCATGAACAAGTTAAAAAAAAAAAAAAAAAAAA